TGCCCACCATGTTTAACGATAAGGCACGGCAGTGTTTTTGGTAATACTTTACAATCTTGTAGCAACTTGACTACACATTAAATAAGATTGTTAAAAGTATCAAATAAAACGGCAGCAGATTTTGAGACATAGTAGAAAATCTGTGGGTGGTGGCGCGTACATATGGTTTTATATCCTATAATCATCACCAGATTATTCCTGTGGGTGCAGGTAATCAACAATATCCAAACGATAGAGTTGTCGGTGAATGAAACCATGACTGCTATAGAGATTTGGATCTCATGATATCGTTTTTTGTTGCTTTTACTATTTTTTTTTTTTTAGATAACACCAGTCCCCTTTTAAAGCTTGCTTTGTAACATCATGACAAGTCAAGGTTGATAAAAGGCCATCCATTCAGAGGGGTTGCTGTAGATCATATTTCATTGTAACAGGCTATAAGGTAATTTAATGCAGTTTCCATGACTGAGGGGATGGCAAGATCTGTACAGCTGATCATGTATCTGTAGTTTTAAATTGTAAGATAAATTCAGTTACTGAGGACTTTAGCCCTTGATACATTAAACAAACTTAGTGGCTTTCAGTATAAAGTTTATGGTAAGCCTAACTGTGATGATGATCACAGTTTAATAGCCTTGTCAAGAAACACTGTAGACAGCTTGCTTAAATAGCTGAAGTAATGTACAATGCATGGGGGTTGCTTCAGAGGAACAATTACTACCTTCCTAGGAAATTTTGCATTCAAGTGTGTAACTTGAAATCTTTGCCAGTGAAACGAAGGGTTTAAATTATTTTCTAAAGATAGTTTGCATAAATCTCCAATATATCTGTCAAAGTGAACATAACCGGTCCATGGGACACAGTGATGGCATGCTTATATCTGTACTAGGGACTTTAAAGAGGAACTCCAGGAATCTAAAAGGTCAACCCTTGAAGTGGAGCTTCTCCTGCACTGCAAGGGCTACCTGCTCGTTTTGGTCTAGAGGCTTAAAAAAAATACTCAACCGGGGCCTCCATCCCACCTGGCTGCTAGACCAGTGCCCGCACCCTCTTCTCCCCCGGGCCCTGGCAGTCTAAAGCCCTGCTGGCATCATCGTGTCTAATGTAACCCATTCACCTGCCTGCTCGTTTTGGTCTAGAGGCTTTAAAAAAATACTCAACCGGGGCCTCGATCCCACCTGGCTGCTAGACCAGTGCTCTCACCCTCTTCTCCCCCGTGCCCCGGCGGTCTAAAGCCCTGCTGGCATCATCGTGTCTAATGTAACCCATTCACCTGCCTTAAATGTGAGTGAGGACACTGAGGAACATACCGCAGCTGGAGGAGAGAGGTGAGCAGTCGCCGCCACCGCCACAGGACCAAGGATTGGGTGAGTACATCTTCTTCTGTATTCCAGCCCCTAGAGAGAAAGGAGTACGCTTGCAGTGGGGGAGGTAGCCCCAGTGCTCGGGTTGCCATTTGAAAAAACTTAAGTTCTTCTATAATGTTGTTGCTACGTTAGATAAGTCCTATATCCAATCAAGTTAATACCATGACTTAATACTGTGCTCTATATATTTTTTTTATTTTAAAAATATTTGGAGGAGCTTGAGATCCTCCATAATGTATCTGGTTTGGCACATTGCACTACAAGTCTATTAAGTCTATCCTGGAATTAGCAGAAAATAATTTTAACATGCACAATCGTCAGTGTCAGGGATTGACTAATTAATGGAATTCAGGAGTCAGTCTGTCCAATCCAGGAGCCAGCAGATTTTACTAGGCACCAGCTCTATTTAATACAATAAGAGAAAACCTCAGTAGTTGGGCACCAGCTGCAATTTTTAAGGAGCATTGGCTACCTGGCTTCCCAGATTTGCCCAGCCCTATTCAATGGCAACTACAGACAAGAGAGTTAATTTGTACACAATATTTAGTGCCCTCCTGATCCTTCTGGGCTTTGGTTTACTACCCCACATGTTTACATTCCTGACGGTTGCACTTTAACCATTGGCCAGTGTGAAATTGTTGTTGACCATAGATCTAAACCCTTTCTTTCTCTCCCTGACTTTGCTTCCAATTTTACAGTTGCACTTTATCTCCATTCACAGAAAATAGAACGACTAAAAGCTTGTGCGTCCAGCTAAAATGTTTTATAAAATTTTTTTTTTTTTAGATCGAAGGCGGAAGATTAGAATCTGTTGGTTTTGTCATCTGTTTCCACCTTCTTTTTTTTTTTTGGGGCCATAACTGTGATGGGTATTCTTATTAACCAATAGTAATCATAATCATTTAACCTTATGCAACCTTCTTGCATAAGGTTAAATAGGCGAAAACCCTGCACTCCGGTTTTTGCCTACAACACTCCACTAAAAAGGCCCGACTTGCTAACTGCTAAAAACAATGGACACTTCTCAGTACTCATACTCCTAGATCTTTCTGCTGCCTTTGATACAGTCGACCACCCACTCCTCAAAAAACTCCACTCCCTTGGTCTCCAAGACATTGTTTTTTCTCCTATCTCAAAGCATCTTCACTGTCACCTACAACTCAATCCCCTCCCACCCTAGCACTCTGTCCTTATCCTTCTATTCTCTATCTACACATCTTCCCCTCGTCAGCTGATAACCTCCTCCCATGGCTACCAATACCATCTCTGTGCCAATCGCACATAAATCTCTGTCTACTTCTCAACTCACCCCCTCGGCATCACTAATTTACTAACTGACATATCAGTGTGGATGTCACACCACTTCCTTAAACTCAATCTTGAAAAAGCAGAGTTCATCTTATTTCCGTCCCCTTCCCTGACTTCTCCATTGAAATCAATAACACATTTATCAGTCCCTCAACACATGCTAGGTACTAGATGTTATCCTGGACTCTGACCTCTTTCAGGCCTTACATCCAATCACTGACCAAATCTTGCTGTCTTAATCTCTAACATTTTCAAAATTCTCCCCTTAACAAATTACACCACCAAGCAACTAATTCACTCTAGTCTTGACTACTGCAACTCTCTTCTCATTGGCCTACCACTAAACAGGCTATCCCCCCTCCAGTCTATCATGAATGCTGCTGCCAGACTCAGCCACCTCACTGGCCACCACCCCTCTCTGCCAATCCCTCCACTGGCTTCCAATAGCGCAAGCATAAAATTCAAAATTATAATGACATACAAAGCCATCTACAACTCTACCCCAGCTATTTCTCCAGATTATATCAAGATATCATCCAAACCGTCCGCTCCTCCCAAGACCACCTGCTGTCTTACTCCGTCCCATCCACAAAAGGTGGATGGGAGACTCTGTAGGTAGCTGCAAGAAAGTTCCATGGTATGATAAATTCTGAGGTTTTTGGCCATCAGACCAAGAACGTTGGCTTAAGCCAAACACTGCACATCATCATAAATGCACAATTCGCACCATATAAACATGGTAGTAGCACATCCTGATGTGCATGTTTCTCTGCATCAGACCCTGTCAGGCTTGTAAGGGTAGAGACTAGAATGAATACTGCAAAATAAAGAGAAATCCTGGAGGAAAACCTAATACAGTTTACAAGAAACATTGGGAGATTCTCTTGCAGCAAGACTGTGACCCTGAGCATAAAGTCAACCCCTCATATAAATGGCAATTGAGAGAGGCCTATCTATGCAGACCCAAGGCTGTCATTGCTGTCAAAAGCATATCTACTAAGTGCTAACTGGAAGGGGGTGTATAGTTGGTTAATTGGGGCTCTTGCATTGTAATTTAAATAATTTTCCAGAGATCTGTTTTCACTTGGGCATTAAATCAGAACTCCAGGATTTTTTATTTATTAGCCCTAGCAGTGGGGCTACCCTTTAATTGCAAGGGTTAACTGCTCCTTTGTGTCTAAAAAAAGTTATACTCACCCAAAGCTTTTAGTCGGCTTCTTAGACCGGCCCTTCCAACATCTTTCTCCCTCCTCTGCAGCAGTCCAAGGTCTCATAAATCATTGTCTACACACAGTGAGGGACGTTATCAAAATCTGGAGCAGCTGTGCACGGGCACCGGTCTGCTACCATCTTTCATTTTCAAATGTTAACTGAAGAGAGAAGCTGATAGGTTGCCATGGGCAACTGCTCCAGATTCGGTCTGCTCCGTTTTGACAGCTGGCTGGCACAGAGCTTAAGGTGAGTATATCTTTGTTGCACTTAACTCTTGCAGTGCAGGAGTAGCCTTCTTTTAACAGTCCAACAACATTATAAAATCTGAAAACTGCCAAGTGGTGATTTACTCTTTATTTACCCTTTTTTCCAATGCAGTGCACTCCACAATGCACTATTGCATGTTGCTGTGAGTCACAGCATGCTGAAAAGCAGATGTGTTGCCTTGCCTTTTTATAATGGATGTTATGTGTGTTCCTGCAATGTGGAAGTGTGGATCCATCCTAAAAGTCCTGAAGCAATGTAGACCAGATATCTAATGGGATAGAGTAGATCAATTGGCCTGAGGGCTGTTTTGTACAACAGTGCTACTGCAAAATAGGTTCGGGACCGCAGCTAGGTTTCCATTCCTCAACATGCAGTGTACACGATGACACTTCCCTTGTGGTTGGGTCAGATAGCAGCAGTCACCTAATTTGAAGCAGTCTTTAAAAGTCGCTGGCAAAATTTATTAGGTTTGCACACAATGATCTTTTGTAACATGCATATTTCGTACATTAAAACTAGCTGTTCTGTAAAGAGTTCTTCTGTGACAGTGTCTTCATGGTATGCATTTGTACATACAATCCTACCCAAAGGCTGATTTTACTACTTCAAAGTCTTTAGGGTAGGTTGGGTGGCTGCTACAAGTTGGTTTCCCGTAGGGTTGCTGGTTACAGCTATGACTGATCTTTAGCAGCAGACCTGTGTGTAGGTCTTTTCTTAGAGCTCTAGACTTTGCTCTAATGATGCAGTTATACAGCGCAGTCATCTAGGTATTTGTTTACTTCATGTCATATGACTAATCTGGGGATTGTATGTCACTGACAACCTGACCTTTTTTTTCTTTACCAGGCTTCTTGGAAACAAATGCTTTTGAAGTGGAAATAAAAGATGCCTCCAATAAGACCTGTATATTTGCCAGTATGAAAGTCAAATTTACAGTAGAGTATGAAACCAACAATGGCACATTTGTAAGTATATTGGTAAAATAAACATCAATATTTATTTTATTTTTTTAGACATTTGCTTCATTTATCCAAAAACCTTAAAAGGGAATTGTTTGTCTATTGTAGATAATGTCACATTTTTAGCTGTTATTACTGACTTGCACTGATGTGGGTCTCATGTCCAAAACCATTGCGGATTTCAGGAATACGTTGACTAAAATGATATAGTGAATTTATGATAAATACATTAAGGTGCTGCAGAAATAAGTTTGGAAAAAAAGTGTCAATATGTGTATCTGTGGGATGCCTAATGTTTTTTTATAATTTCAGTTTTTGGTTGCTTTACACATAACTACGCAAATCTGCATTTTTTTTTATTTTTTTTTTTATTTTTTTTTTTATTTAAGTCGCATACAGGAACAAATCTTTTACTGAAAACAAATGTCTACCGATCTGTATTGAAAACAGGTCTGAGGTATGACAGGAAAAGTAATGAATCTTAAATAATGTTGAACTACACACTTTGGGGTGTCACAGGGCCATTCGCTCTGCAAACATCTAACTTAACTAAATTCTAGATGATCCTCACCCTGATCTAGTGGCCTTTATGTGGTTCAGATGTTTGAGTGAACTGCACACAGAAGACAGTCATTTGTGCCACCAGTTCAGGGACAGAAAGGTGTAGGAATTTGATAGGAACTAGTGAAAGCTGGAAAGTGCTCCAGCATTGCAGGAACCTGACAGGACAGACATGTGGGACTGTGCCATTGCCCAACAGTCTGCAGGTGATGCAGTTCCTTTCATTTTGTATATTTTGCAGGTTGCAGCACTCTAATGTCTTCCATTTTCAGGAAACTAGCAATATGTCTTGCTTCTGCAACATAAGTATATAGCTCAGAAAACCGTGTCTATCCTGGTGACCGATTTAAGCATACATCAGCCGGTCATCAAGCCAAATATGTCAATTTTCTGCAGTCCTTATGGTGTCTCGCAACAGATTTTTATTTAATCGGTTAGGGGACCAAGTGCATATTGTACTTTGTCCAGTTCAAATACGCCCTGCCGTTGCTAAGCAGTGTGGTCGGGCTGGTTAAGCATCTCTGTCCAACCATGCTGCTAGCAAGGAGGCAGATTTCTGAATGACAGTGCTTGTGTCTGACAGCAGGGCCACTCTGGATATCAGTGTTGACACTCATAAGAGATTACTCAGTGCTGTGGGCTATGATCTGCAGGGTTATGTGATCGATCTGCTGAGGCTGCTTGTAAACCCAGCCCTAGCAGTTGCATTACAGCCCTGCTGTGCTGAGTGAATGATCAGCATTGACTGTGCCGTGTCATACACTGTTTTGGCTGCGACAGCACTTACTATTTATCCATAAAACCTCAGCTCTACAGGGCTGTGTTAACAAACAGTGATGAGTGATCATTCATCAAAGCTCACTGCATTGCAGGGATATGCATTCTATCTCCTGGGTCTGCTTGTAAACACAGCCTCTGCATTTAGATAGCAGCCCCGCAGCGCTAAGTGGTCTTTTATGAATGAATGGCCAGTGCTTTCAGCGTTGCGTGACAGAGCAGCCCTGTATGTTTTTACTAGCAGCCGGCAGCTCTATACCACAGCCCTGTAGTGCTCAGGGCTGGGGTGGAGCTACAGCCAGCATGAACATAATTACAGAGGTGCTTTTATTTATTCCACATCGGGGCCACCGATCTGAACAGGACCAAGTACTGTTTTGCATTTGATCCCCTGACTGATCAAATAAAAATGTAAAATTTTTAGTGCAACTTCTTTAAGTATATGAGGATGGGAAATGACCAAGTAACCATGAAAATGGTTCAAGCATAATCCAATCATGAATGAAGACCTAAAAGAGAAATCACAGCTCCGGCAATGAAATAAAGTAAACCGCATAACAAGGAGCTATAAATTGTAGGGATGCACCGATATATCGGCCGAAAATGGCACTTTTGGCTAAATGCCGAAAAGTGCAATTTTCCTGCCGATACATCGGCGCATCCGTGCTTTCTTTCCTCCCCTCTGTGCGCTGCTCTCTGTCCCAGCGGGGAGGAGAGAAAGTGACAGCCGGCGCGGGAGCGCTGCGGGAGGAGAGCGCTGTGAGTGGCCGGCGCTCAGCCACCTATCACAGTCCGGCAGACAGTGTGGGGGCGGAGACAGCCCGCACTGTCACAGGAGGCTGGGCTCTCCTCCCTACACCCCTCGCTCAGCCTCCTGTGACAGCGTGTCAGGAAGGAGAGCGAGAGCAAACACTCCGTGATCGTTGAGTGTTTGTAAATACTTGAGGACAGGGTATGTGTACTATGTCCTCAATTATGAATGAAGGGGAAGTGATCTACATCACCTCCTGTTCATTCATAGTTATAGCAAACGCACTCTGTCATGTTATCAATGAACAGGAACACTCATATAAAAAAATACAATATTAAAAACATTTGAAAAAAATAAAATAAAAACATTTTCGGTTTTGGCCTGACAATTTCTTTTTTCTTTCAGTTTCGGTTTTTAAATTTCTATTGCGGTGCACCTCTTATAGGATTGTTACACTTGTGGGTACAATTTATATCTAAAAATTATCAAAAAGCTTAACAGTAACATTCTGAGACAGTCTCCTTCTCACTCTCTCCTATTCTCTAATTGATAACGAACTGCACACATCACATACTTTCACTGTTAAGCTGGAACACACATTGGGGTGAATTTTTCAAAAGTGGAGCAGACCGAATCTGGAGCAGTTGCCCATGGCAACCGATCTGCATCTCTCTTCTTTGCTCAGGTAAGATTTGAAAATGAGACAAAGAAGCTGATTGGTTGCAGTGCAAATCTTCTGCAGAATTTGTCCACTCCAGTTTTGATAACTTCCCCCCATTATGTGTATGTTTGTGACCAGCTTCACCCTGGTAGCAGTTCAGGATTTTTAGGTTTTAGCCAATCGGCTGTCTATTTAGAGCATTTCGGATCATTTGTGCTATTCAGCTGGTCACACACAATATGATTGTGCAATCTCTTTTATCCAATAGCTATATCATTCGATGACCTGCCTGATAGGATTGAAATTGAATCTATTATTGAAGTAGGACCAATTTTTTATTGTATAGTTTTGGTAAATAGAAAGATTGTCCAATCAGATTTTAACATATATGATTAGACTAAAGGTTTGGCAGTTTTTACTGTTTTGGATGTATGCATTATATCTAAATGGGAATGACTGAATTGGTTATCCTAAATGGCTGATGACACCGTTGTGTTGCAGCAACACATGTTATGCGCATCTGAGTGCTGCAGTGCCTACTGGGCTCTGAAACTTTTTAGGCTTTGATAAGACTGGGGAAGGTTTGGAACCTCTGCCATGTTTTTTCTCATTCTTAAGATTTTTTCCCCCACCTCTGTCCCCCTTTACCACAGAAGAAGTTAGGGGTCTCTCAATTGGCAATAACTTAAAAGGATCTGATTTCTTATTCTATTAGGGGATAAAGTAGTAGCCTCTGTCCCCCTGTTGACAGTTCTGCTTACTTCCTGTTCTGGGGATCACATAGGAGGTAGTGGGGAATATTACCAATTAGGGACGCCGCAGTTAATTCTGATACATGTTGTAACCCTTCCCCCCCTCCTATATTTAAAGCTTCAAAAATATTTTTGGCTGGTTTTCCTTCTAAGTTAGCTACTTTTTTTTTTTTCTTTTTCCTATGTGTAAGCTTAGACTATGCTTCCTTCTTTCAGAGAAATGTAACCTTTACAGCACCTGATAGTGTAACCACTGAAGGCAGTAGATGTGGGAATAGTACTGAGCCACCATTATTGAATGTCAACTTTGGCAAAGGGCAATCATGGAGCCTGAACTTCACAAGCGATGCCGAAGAATACAGATTCAGTTTCCTCAGCTTTACTTACAACACTAGTGACTCCACGTTGTTTCCAGAGGCAAAGCCAAAAGGTAAGTCCTGTGTGAATTGGGACATCCATGATGCATGGTCACAAGAGCGTTTAGGGCCCATTCTCACCAGCCGCTGCGCTACATCACACGACGGCTAGTTTGCAGTGCCTGACACAGTGCTGATGCGACGATTTCTGAACTTTTTATTTTTTAATAGAACTTTATTGAAATGTTTTTTGCTCTACGGGCACAGCGAGGAGCATGGCGATTAAACGGTGTTTGATTTCAGGGCCCCCTTTTTTTCTTCTTCAGTGCACAACACCACATTGAGGTGTTGTGAATGGTGCCCATCCGTTACAAGACAAATTGCCTTGTTTTGCAGCTGTGCTGCACTAAACAATCAGTGCAACCCCAACGCATTTCTCCTGCTGAGTATTTTGAAATTAATTTTCATCCAAGTGCCCAGTATATTTTGCTAATTTAAATTAGGTTTGTAGTAATAATTATTTGATAACAATATAATTTGTACTAACCCATAGCAACTCATCAGCTTTTACATCATATGGCTGCAGTAAATGCAAAAATTGCCTTACAGCAGAACTCCAGGCAAGTATCTAAATACACAGGTGAACTGATTTACTTGCTAAAGGACTTCTACTTCTGTTCAGTTTTTTTGTGATCTAGATGGCATGACCAGACCTGTGACATGCCTGCTGACTGCACTGCCATTAAGGAGGAAATTATGGGAAACCTTAATGAAAAGTACAGAGGTTGCCGTTGCTGAGTGGCTACTGGAGTCCTGTCTTGCACAGGGGGCACACTGTGTGTGACGGAGCTTATCGGCTATGATGACAGCCAGGCAGCTAGGATTTTCAGAATGATCAGTCATTCGTGGCAACCTGCTTCAGTAGAGGTTTTTAAGGAATAAAGCCTGGTCTTGGACACCCCAGCCTCTGGCTGAATTATAAAGGAGCAGCAGCAAACTGATGAGGCTCTCATCTACTGTAAGCAGGTCTGTTTAGACTGATGGAACATTAACAGTAATAGCGCTTTGATTGGCTTAAGGTGCTGAACCTTCCTATCCTAGTAGTACTACTGGTTCACAGGGAGTTACAAGAGGCTAAATTCAGGTACTGTGATAATGCCTAAAAATCATTTATAGACAAAAGGCTAAATAAACTGTTAAAATACACAGATGAATTGTCTTACTTGCCAAAAGATTTGGGACTCTATGCAGCAATGCTTTAGATTCACTCACTCCTGTCAGTGTACCTAAGCAGTGAATCTTGGTTATAATCTTTCCCCCAGCTTGTGTTTGAATAGTAAAGAAAGCTGCACCCTGATAAGGTGATCATTGTCCCTCTGCCTTCCATCGGCAAGCTTTCAGTGTTTGATTGGTAGCATTGTGCTATGGCTGTATGGCCTACAGTGCTGCCCCTTCCCCTTCAAGTTCTATTGTGTAGGGGGCATTCCGATACCAGTATAATGGCAGATTGAGATGCCATATAAATCCTTTTTATAGATTTTGAATTATTGGATACCTGGCTTCAATCTGGATCTTTTACATCTTCCTACAGTGTTACTTTTATTTTTCTAATAAGTTACATTTATCTGTATTTGTTTTATGTACCAAGAGCTCAGATTTAAAAGGGGAAAAAGGGCCAATGGTACCTGGTACTGAATGGAGTAAATGCCCTGTTGTGGCAAATCCATATAATTGAATGTGTAGTGTCCCACTAATGGCATCCTGTCCAGCATTGTCTTCGATACATTGCTATATATTGTTTACATTAATTTATTTCTTTTTCTTAGGGCTATTGACATCTGCCACAAATACAGGCATCTTTGTTCCAGTTCCACTGAACGCAGCTTATAAATGTTCACATGATGATACTCTGATTACAGAGCATGTTGTTCAATTATATTGGAATGTTACACTGCAAGCGTATATGGAGAATTCCGCATTGGGCAGAGGTGAGCAAATATTTACCAGAATGTTTGATGTATTTAGTTGGAGAGAGATCTCATAATCTTTATCAGGATTTGGATTTGTTTCTCTAATGCTTTTAAACAATTGCTGGAGGTTTGAGTGGTCGCAAAAAAAATCGCTACTTGCCTACCAGGGCCCATTCGTGTTCACCCTTCATTCTTCCAGTGCAGTATTGGAAAATAACAGTTTGGGTGCAGAATGTAGTGACTGCGTCATGAATGGGGATCTGGGATCTTGGTGTCAAGATCTCTCTGCTGGAGTTCAAGCGGATATAACCTACTAGTGGGCCATTAACAAAACAAGAGTTTGTGGAGAGCCGATTCCTCAAAGCAAAGCTTATGAGATTTTAACCCTTGAACAAAAATGTAATATTGCATCTTACTAGTCCTTCGATGTGGTAGCTGCATTAGTTTCCCCCCCCCCCCCCCCTTTTTCAGCTGTTGATTCAACATCCTGGTATAGTGTGACCATGCTCACTCAATGTACTCTATACATGAAGCAGTGTTGTCATCCTAGGATGCTTGCTTCTGTTTTAGACTTCATTGCACAGAAAATTACAAGCACACTGGGTTTCTAGCAGCATAAACAGGCATTTTTCTGTACTTTCAGTCTGAAAAAAACAAATGCTGCCACTACATCTGTGGACTGGTAAGCTGCAATATTTAAAAATGTTTGTTCTTGGTTTTAGATATTCTTTAACTCCTCACACTGCCTATTTAACTCAATATCAGCCACTCCCTACTCTACCCAAAAAGAAAAAGTTTTGGCTATACATAGAGTTAAGTCTTAAAAATTGAAGTGTTCTTGTACGCATGCTTTAATTTTGGTCTTTTTTTTTTCTTTCAGATTTTCGTTGCAGTGCTGACCTTGTACCTTCTACACCATCAGCACCTACTACACCATTGCCAACTACCCATAACACAACTACACCATTGCCAACTACGCATAACGCAACTACTCCATTGCCAACTACGCATAACACAACTACACCAAGCACAACAGCCATCCCAAAACCAACCTCCAAACCAACTCCAAAACCTACTCCCAAACCTGTGGACAAACCGGCTGTTGGCAATTACTCTGTTTCAAATGGCTCAGAGACCTGTCTGCTGGCTTCCATGGGTCTGCAGCTTAATGCTTCCCTGCTGGTGGAAGGAAAGGTAAATAACGTTGCTATTGTGTTTTTATTGCTGTATTTTTGTCTTGTGTACATTTGTTACAGGATCATTGTACAAAACGCTGTACTTTGAACATTGTTGGCACAGTAAAATTGATATGACGATATGCAGAAGCCCGTCAGCTGGTTTTAAGTTTGATTCCCATGCTGGTTGAGACACACTTTTTACATATGCAGTCGTCTTTTTGTTTCCTTGCTATCCATTGTCTGCAGCAGATGAAGATTGTCAGAATATGCCAGGGATCATATTGTTTTTTATTCTAATAAAGCTGTGTTTGGCTTAAATATGTGTGTGGTATCCATCACAAAAGTAAGCAGCTTAAGAGTTTAAGGCAGAATATGAACTTTAAACAGAGAGCATTTGATTCCTGTGTCCTGCAGAACATTAGAGGCCCACCTGCATCAATAAGGTTTTTGTATGCATAATGGAGAGAAAAAAAGTACTTTAAGACATCCATTTAAATTGTTTAGTTAGTCAGTGTTAGGATTTAAATGTCGTAAATAGTAAAATGTGTCACCTCAATCTATATAAAGTCTAATATCTTTTGTACAATCATTCAGAATGTACATAGCTTGTGTCCTTTGCCAGTTCAGCTTTCATTTGTGAACATAACATTGAAGGAGGATCCCATGGACCACTGGATTGCTTCCTAGAATTTTGTAAAAGTTATCTGTTCAATACTTTTTGCCTTGTAATATTCTATTATTTTGCTCGTCAAGTATATTCTGAAAGGCTCTTTTCCGCTGGAGCTGTGTTTTAGTATATTGATCATGGGGTGGAGTGGGTAGTTAAGCTGAGCCTATAGCAGAAAGAAATAGGCATGTACCCTTGCACTCGGTTGATTAGAATAATATTCTGAGATATTCTCAGTCTGCTTAATTTGTCCAGAGAATAATAGATCTGGGATACCTGTTGGAGTCTGTGGATATCTCTATGCATCCCCGTCTTTGCCCAGTCGAGCTGTAATCAGACATTTACAGTTGAAGAGGTATATGGAGCAGATCTGCTCTGTCTTGCATATTCATTTATTAATAGTGGATCCTTTCTTTTTAGAATGTTTGGACTGCAATTGACATTAACCCCAATACCACTGTGAGTTCTGGAAATTGTGGAAATGAGACTGCTCTCTTGAGACTGACTGACAACACCACCACTGTTATTGAATTTTACTTTATTATTGTAAGTATTTGCAAGTATGTGTTCAATGCTTTTGGTTTTTGATTTTATAGATAGATATAGATCTATATATATATAGATCTCCTGAAGGAGAGGTTCACTCTCGAAAGCTTGTCTTTTATATATTTTGTTAGTCCAATAAGAAAGGTATCATTGCACACTGCAATACTACGTTTTTGTGGGGGGGGTTTTCTGTGTTGTTTTTTTTTTTTTTTTTAATACTACTTTTAAAGTTCAGTAAAATACCAAGTTACTTAAATGTGGTGATTTGACTACAATTATCCTCTAAAAAAAATTGCGACATACAACAAAGGTTCTCTTTTAGACTAAATTCACCAGACCTCCTAAAGTACATGCTAGGGATGCACCGATAATGAGTAATTGGATGAGTACTCGCCCAAACACGCCCGATGCCTAAACTTCCAGTATCGGGAAGCCGGGCGGTGGGTCATTACATGCCGCCCTGTAACTGGTAGAAAGTCACTCGCACTTGAACTTTTTTTTTTTTTTGAAAAGTATTTTATTGGTTTTTAAGTAATCATACAAAATATAAACGAAAAGGAACAATATAACGACATACAAAAAGGCACATGTCACATTCGTATGGATATCGTCTTGACACCTAACACATCATCTCACTGTACATTTGTCCCATAGCAAGAACATCCAAACATCAGAACCAGGTACCCTCACCACACTATATTATAGCAGCGTTTCATCAAGGATGGCCACTGTTGTCCGCGTCCAGCCTGTTCAGGGGAGTATTCCTCCTGTAACTCGCACTTGAACTTTTGTAGTCAAAGTGTCGCATAACTTAGGGATGTTTCGAGACAGTCTGGTATCTTCAGGCAAAACGAAAGTGTGTCTCACACTTTTGTTTTGCCTGAAGAAGATACCAGAGGGTCTTGAAACATCGCTAAGTTGTGTGACACTTTGATGGTCAATAAAGAAGATTGACTACAAAAGTTTCTGGAGTGCGAGTGACTTTCTACCAGCTACAGGCGACATGTAATGACCCGCCAGCCGTCTTCCTGATTGGCCGTGAAGCTGGCCAATCAGTAAGCCGCTTCCATACTTTCTCATCACCTGGTGACGAGAGAGCATGGAGCCTGGCTAATCAGGAATCCAGGCAGCGAGTCATTACCCGCTTCCCAGGTAATTAGTAAGCCGGGCAGCGAGTCGTCATATGCCTCCCCACTAATCAGGAAGCTGGGCGGCAGCGAGTGATTACATGCCGTCCCGGCTTTGTTAATGGGACTTCCTGGATCGGTATCAACGAATACAGAAAAAAAAAAAAAATAGTGCTCGATACCAAAAAACAGCATTTGTGCATCCCTGGTGTATACTATATGCAATCCCTTTTATTTGTAGTGGTGCAGAGTCAGGCAGATTGCTGTCATACTCAAGAACTTGATGGTCAATAAAGAAGATTGACTACAAAAGTTTCTGGAGTGCGAGTGACTTTCTACCAGCTCAATGCAAACAAAGCAGTGGGTCCAGATAACCTGCACCCCAAGGTACTTAAGGAATTAAGCCAGGTTATAACTAGACCATTTATCCTCATTTCTCTCCCGTTCATTGAAGGACACAGGCAACAGATCGTAGATCCTGAATGGTAGGGTAATATCGCCACCTGCAGGAGAAGGACGCTAGGCACAAAACTAAAGACCAATTACAGCCTAGGGGCGGCCCCTGCCGGTGGCCAAACCCCCCACCTGCTGACAAGTCTCCAGTTTTTTGCCTAGCGTCAGGAGTAAGGAGCTTCGAATTTTTTCTCTTGCATTCTTGCGGGATTTCTCCTGTTTTTTCGCTGGATCTTCTAGCAAGTGTCGGCAGGGAGACAGGCTGGATGTTTGTGGATCCTTGTAGTCTTCCCTGGACGACCGGCGAGCGCATGCAGACTCTGCCACGGTGGGTCGGCTGCGACAGCTCTGTTTTTTCAACGGAGTGGCCTGTGGGCTTGTCCCTGTGGGGTGCATATGACTGGGGATCTCGGCCTTCCAGTCACAGCACTCCACTCGGGCTGGCGGCGCCGCGGCTGAGGTCGGGGGCGTTTTTCTGCCACCCCTGCGCACCCTGATGCCGGGTTTTCAGAGTGTATTGCCTTTTACTGGGGACCGTCTGTTTGGATCCCCCGTGAATGGGATCATTACGATCTACAGGTGGTAAGAGTACGAAGGAGCAGCGCCGCAAGCCTGGGGCCTTTTTCTCCGCTCACCAGCGGGGTTTTTCAGCGTCCGATCCGGAGGGCAACCAAACTAATTAGGGGTATGGAGGACCAAAGTTACGAGACAATGCTACTAAATTTTTAAACATGTTCACATTGGAGGTGAGGAGATTAAGGGGGGATATGATTTCCATGTACAAAATGTGCAATGGTGGTAACAACATTAGCGACAAACTGTTTAAAATTAACTCCATTACAAAGACTAGAGGCCAGCACCTAAAATTGGTGGAAAAAAAATCCCAGCACAAGGGGCGAAGGGGGTTCTTCACAGTAAGATCAGTTAGGGTCTGGAACTCACTGCCACAGGCGGTGATTTCAGCAAAGAATGTGGAATTGTTCAAGAAACTTTTGGACGATTTCTTAAGGGACCGTAATATACAGGGGTACAGGTACTCCTAGAATGAGATCCTAATAGGTTGGACTTGATGGACTAATGTCTTTATTCAACCTCAAATACTATGTAACTATGTAACTTGGTGCATAATTTAGCCATGGCCGATATAGTACAAATTGTGGTATTCAACAAATCGGTTATTTTCATTAGAGACTTCCAAAATGTTAAAGCCCAGCTTTGTGAATAAAGGCACTGCCAGCACTGAGCAAATGCTACAGAAGTTTGGGTATATGAGAGATCTTGTGTAAAACTGGAGTGCCGCTGATTGCAGGGCAGTAGTTGTGATTCTGAAAGGGGTGGGGGGTTTGGAACCCTGCAAAAAGACAATTGTGTTTCATGCAGAGCGCAGCAGTCTTTCCCTGCAGCACCCTAGTGGTGGACAGATGCTGGCACTAGGCATGACTTACAAAATTACTACAGTTAGCTTAATCTCTAACTGGAAGGTTTGGTTGGACATTAACTTTTGCTGTGCTATACTGATTGCTTTATTATTCCCAATATAGAAACAAAAGAACTTCCACCTTCAAGAAGTTAATGTGACCCTGATCAATGGTTCAGGTACCGAATCTCATCTTATAGCACTTAATTTTCTTTCTATACATTACATTTTTCTAAGTACAGTTATATGTCTTTTGTTCTTTACATTAACTAACAATAAACATAAATATGTTGATAGCCTGCTTATCTGCAACCATTACTTCTGAAGAACAGGCAAGGATCAACCTAAATAGGGCCTCTCATGGTGGCAAAATCCAGCACTTTTGACTGTAGTGATTCCAGATCACTTCCAGATCCTTGCCTTTTTTTTTTTCCCCTGACACTTCTGCTCTGGCATGCGATTGATGTGATCATAACATAGTGGTCACTCCTATACTCTTCGAAGCCCAATTGAAACCTTATTACTGTAATGTGGCTAGGGTGCATATACAGTAATAAATATGGCTTTTCCTTTATCAGCAAAGGTTAAAAGGCTCTGGAAATGTCAGACCAAGGCTTTTGCACCCCTGATTGTCCTTCAGCAGCCCTGTTGATTAGGCAATGTTCAGGTAGGCATGTTCAATGGCTGCTTGAGGTTGGGGCTCTCCTAGTGTGTGTTTTTAGTTTTTGTTTTTTTAAGAACTTAAGGTAGAACGAGGCATATATGCTGCCTGACTACCTGAAAAAGTCCGGTTAGATATGAATTTACAACATAGTTTTTTCTTTTCTTTTTCTCGTATACAGACTTTTTTTTTTTATTTTCACCTTTATTTCTTGAGCAAACATCACACCAAAGCTGTACAGCATAAGAAGTGCATATGTTTTCAATACTAATGTTTTTGCTCTTCAGGCATTTCCTATAGAACAAAAGTTAATCTGAGTTTATGGGAAGCATCTTCAACCAACTCTTACCTGTGCCACAAGGAGCAGCTTATCACCGTCTCAGAAGACCTCTACATTAATACATTTGACGTGAGAGTACAGCCTTTTAATGTACATAATGGAACATATGCCGCAGGTAAGAATATGTGTATGCATACGGAGTGTGTGTGCTTTTTTTATTTTATGTGACCAAAGATTAGTAAGGACCAGTAATGTTTTGCTAACACAACTGGACAAGTGAGGTTTTCTCAATTTTGTACATCACACTCTTCACCCAGGAACAGTTCTGGAAATTCTGTTTGGAAAGCTTACCTTTTGAAATGGGGGAAGTGACATCTGAGGCAGTAGTGTTGAATTAATTCTAAACTCCTAACTGCACTGAAGGCTTTTTTTCTTTCTAGCTTGTGGAGGGACTCGTGTCTTTCATCTGCGTGTTATAGTGTTATAAAACTATAATCCGGCCAAGGATAATCCCTTCTACTACCAGCATGCTTCAGTTTTTTTGCTAGTGTCCTAGGAGGATGGACGTCTTATCTTCAGCTCTGCTGTGTGAAAGACTAACCTATTTTTTTCGGCGCCCCTTATTTTGAAAAAAACTTATTATCCTTTTTTAAGTTGTGTTTTTTTTTTCTTCAATCAAGACTCTTCACTACCTTGTTGATGGAGCTGGCATCTTTGATTGCCGCTATCTGGCGAGGCTGTCGTCAGCATGGCTTTTTAAATGCTGTCTGGACCTGCTGGACTGGACATTGCGGGGATAACCTGTAAATTATTTTTTGTTGTTTCCACAAATGACATTTACCAAACCCATTCTGGCAAAAAGTTAGCCATGGAGTGCTTTCCAGGTCTAGAGCCACTGACCTTGCCTTAGCACTTGCCCTGTTTCTGAAGACTCGCTTTGTTAGTAGGCCTGTTGAGCTGAGCACCAGACGCTACCTAAAGTACTTAGATTGCTGGGCACCTTTTAAAATGCCCTGTTTCCCATCAGTTTTCACTGGGAAAATGGCCTGTGGTAGGGAGGGCTGATGGCACTTTGCTGGGTGGAGAGTGCTCTGCAGTCTTTCCTGCCCAACAGTGTAGAGGAAGCTGTGACAATAAGGGGGTCTGAGTCTGAATATTAAAAATAGAATGTGTTTTTGCCCCAGTTCAGAGCACCTGCAGTCCTTCATTTAGTGATGTGGGATGTGGTGGGGGCCTGTCACATCACTAAATGAAGGACTGCAGGTGCTCTGAACTGGGGCAAAAACACATTCTATTTTTAATATTCAGACTCAGACCCCCTTCGGATTTCACCTGCCGGTTTCTGGTACAAACCGACGCATCCGCATATGGTCTGGGCGCAGTGTTGAGTCGGGTAGACCAGGCGGGAGAAGAACATCCCATCCTCTACCTGAGCAGGAAGTTACTTCCACGGGAAGTAGCGTATGCCACTATTGAAAAGGAGTGTCTTGCGATCGTGTGGGCATTACAGAAGTTACAGCATTACCTGTACGGAAGTTCCTTCACTGTCATTACCGATCACAACCCACTCAGCTGGTTATCCAGAGTTTCCGGCGAGAACGGTAAACTGCTGCGCTGGAGTTTAATTCTCCAGCAGTATAATTTTACCATTCAGCACAAGTAGGGCAGTGCCCACGGCAATGCGGACGGATTGTCGCGGCAATGTGGAGTTCAAAATTAATTTGTGATTCCTTCTGATGCCACCACACAGGGAGGAGGTGTGACAATAAGGGGGTCTGAGTCTGAATATTAAAAATAGAATGTGTTTTTGCCCCAGTTCAGAGCACCTGCAGTCCTTCATTTAGTGATGTGACAGGCCCCCACCACATCCCTAAAATGAAGGACTGCAGGTGCTCTGAACTGGGGCAAAAACACATTCTATTTTTAATATTCAGACTCAGACCCCCCTTATTGTCACAGAAGCGTCTCCCCACTGCTGCTCCTTCATATAACCATATGGAACTTAAATCTTCAGTCTTTTTGCTGCTCGCCTATTGAATTTTGTCACTTCCGGCCAATGGACCCTCGGCTATTTTGGGGTTTTGTGATTACCTGAGACCCTGCTTTTTACAATGTCCAATCGTCCAATGTCCAATTGTACAGTGTCCAATTCTAGAGTACCGGCGGAAAGATTCAGTTATGTGAATTGATGCCCCCAATTCACCATCTACTAACGCCTCCAGGGCGACTTTTAGTGCGCCTCCTGATGGTGTCCACATTTTACAGCCTGAAATCCTGTTTTGCCGCCTTCTCCTAGGGTCCATTCCATGCACGGTCCTCCTTAGCACGGTCAGGTGTTGCAGGTTCCTCTGCCCTTTCTGGTTAAGGTTTTAACTACAGTCATGCAAGATTTTATGGCTCATATCACCCAGTTATTTACAAACTCTGATCAGAGACTCCCATTGCACCTGCTGGTCCAACTTTCTCTTCAGGGATTGGAAACACCTTGACAAGCTGTTTGCTTCCTTCAATCACCTAATAGTCTTGTAGGTTGTTGAGTATCACCATCTCCATTTATGAGCAGGAAGCCTCTGTGATTCCTATTCATTGAGTGCTGGGGTTGCAGAAAATGAGATTGAGGACTCTGTGTCCTCAATCTCGTTTCCCTTTTGAAACAAAATTAAAAAAAAAACAGTTTGAGAAACAGTTGAGTAAAAATAATAATACTGTAATTAAAAAAAAAAAAGTAAAATAAAGTGCCCCCCAATTATTACAAAATAAAAAAAGGTGGAAAAAGTCATATTTTCCCTGACAAATTCTGGTGCGGGAGGTGCTTTGCCTTATTTCAATGGCACCCCAAAAGCGCCTTCTGCCCGCACTGCAAACCTCAAAAAGCCGCCTTTTGCATGAAGGTGCGCGCCCCACAAACCTTCCAGAATTAGTGAAAGTTTGGTTACCTTTGCAGCCTTTTGGACATCTTCCCGAAGATCCTCCATGATGTATGCCAGCCTGTTGGGCTGGGAGGAGCACCCCAGCTCTGCAGGAGATTTGGTCATCCTCTGAGTCTAGTCTCCTCCAATGAATATCCCGGAAGTTTGAACAATTTAGCTGTCTCTGCAGTGTTGCATCATACTGCTGGTAGGTCATCTGATCCGAATTAACTTGGACAATGCCATGACGGGCACACATCATCCATCAGGGAGTGATGTGGAGGCAGTAGTGGAGCACCAGGGCCTGATCCCAGCTGCAACGTCTGCGACGCTGGTAGTTCTGCCACTGATTCCAAGCTGTAGAGGTACTACAAATTCTAGCAATACAATATACAGCAATGCAGAATATAAAACTACATACTCAGTGTTGCTCACCAGGGCTATGTGGTATCTCAGAAGGCTGCGCGTGGTCTTTTTATTGTGTTTAATGTGTAATGTATTTTGTATAGTTAATAACATTACAAATATTTTCACTGTTATTTTCCCTATTTATCCTGAGTACAGTGACCCCTAAAATGTGTAGGTTTTGGTACATACCTTATGTCAGTGCAGTGTGATCAATAAACAAGTGGATATATTTTAGATGTCTAAACATTTGGAATTTTTTGGCACATTTGCCTTGGTTAATTGTGGCCATTTAAACAGGATAATTAAAACCGATATGACCGTTTACTGTCATACTGTTTATTAGGGATGCACCAATACAATTTTTTCAAGACCAAGTACGAGTATCGATACTTTCCCTCAAGTACTTGCAAATACCAATTGCCGATACTTTTTTGTGTCATGTGACAGTTTTTCTAAAACAATACAGACTAATTTTAGGACAGTGGTGGAGCGCCAGGGCCCAAACTCAGCTTCAACAGCTGAAACCCTGGTAGTTCTGCCACTGACTCCAAGCTGTAGAGGGACTATAAATCCCAGCAATACATTATACAGCAGCGCAGAATACCATCAGTTATAGAGGACTATGAATCCAAGCAATACATTATATAGCAATGCAGAATAATATGAAGCTACATACTCTGTGTTGCTCACCAGGGCTGTGCAGCAGCTCTGGAGGCTGTGCGGGGTCTCACCAGGGTTGTGCTTGATCTTACCAGGCCCGTGTGTGGTCTTACCAGGGCTGTGTGCGGTCTCACTAGGGCTGTGCAGGGTCTCGCCAGGGCTGTGTGTAGTCTCACCAGTGCTAAGCGGGGTCTCAGAAGTATGTTTGGGGTCTCACCAGGGCTGGGTGTGGTCTCACCAGAGCTGTGGGGGGGTCTCAGGAGAATATGCAGGGTTTCACCAAGGCTGCGTGCGGTCTCACTAGGACTGCGTCCGCTCTCACCAGGACTGCGTCCGGTCTCACTGGTGCTGCATGGTCTCACCAGGGCTGCTTGTGATCTCGCCATGGCTGTGCGGGTCTCACCAGGGCTGCGTGCGGTTCTCACCATTGCTGCCTGTGCATCTCACGAGGGCTGTGTGCGTGTCTCACAAGGGCTGTGCTGGTGGCTGTGGGTCTCACCAGGACTGCACGGGCTGATGGGGGTCTCGCCAGGGTGCAGGCGGTGCAGGACTCCCCACTGCTGTGCCGGGTTTTACCATGGCTATGCAGGCGGATGTGGAAGGAGGAGAAAGAGATGTTCGGCTGGGCAGCACTGTAAACAGGCACCACAAGGTCCCAAGAAGGCTGCCGTTAGGGCCCCAGCACAGGACCTTACGGCAGCCACTTGAGTTTAAAGAAATTTAAAGTGCCGTTATATGCAGGTTTTTATCTGCATTTTCACAAGTACTGGTATCAGTTTTGGTGCATCCCTATTAATATTGTCACAACACCTCTTTTTGAGGAGTTAAGCTGACCATACACTGTTCAGCGGGGCGAAGGGAGAATAATGACTCCATTCCCTCATACGCACTAAAGAGAGTAGATGGAGGTGTATCTCTTGCCACCTTTTGTATTTTGCCAGATGGGGCCCGCGGCTGTCAGAATACCAAACCAGTGACTGCAGTCAACTCTCTGAGAGATTTCCACCCAGCTCCTTTAACGAAAGTCAATTGAAAAAATAGCTGAAATTCGATTTCATGTATGAGCACCTTTTTAGGGTTGCATTTGCAATTACATACTATTAACTGCTATTATTTTGTATGAGATAATAAATGGAGCAACAGAGCTGGGCATTGAATCTGTTCATATAGTTATACCTTACATTAGCCATGCGGAATG